ATGAAGTGTGCCTTGATCAGTGGAATCTGGGGCACAATGCACACCCCTTAGATTTTCAGAATAACTATCTCTCTAACAGCTATTAATTAATGCATTGGATGCATATTACATGGCATAGGGGCAGTGCAATAAAGGGTTAATAGCTCTGGAACAAGAAGGGACAACCATGTCCCATGAAGTGTGCCTTGATCAGTGGAATCTGGGGCACAATGCACACCCCTTAGCTTTTCAGAATAACTTTCTCTCTAACAGCTATTAATTAATGCATTGCATGCATATTACATGGCATAGGGGGAATGCAATAAAGGGTTAATAGCTCTGGAACCAATTGAGACAGCCATGTCCTATGAAGTGTGCATTGATCAGAGGAACCTGGGACACAATGCACACCCCTTGCCTTTTCAGATTATTTTTGTCTGTAATAGTTATTTGTTAATATATTGCATACACTTGAAGTGCAATGGGGCAACACAGTAAAGGGGTAATAACTCTGAAACAAAATGGGACAGCCATGTCCAATTGAGTGTGCTTTCATCAGTGGAGTCTAGGGGACAATGCACACCCCTTGGATTTTCAGAATAACTTTCTCTGTAACAGTTATTAATTAATACATTGTATGCGTATTATATGCTATTGCTCCATTTCATACATATTAACAGAGAGAGCCCTTCATGATTCGTGCGCCAATGTCGTACAGATCATCCAGGTACGCCGGCATTGTCTTCGGAGAAATTGTGGTGGTTGGGGCGGTGTTCATATGACGTGTGCGCATGTCTTTATATTGTTTGATTACAGTATTTTACTTAAAATGGTGTTGTTTGACTAAATAAATGTGACCATTGACTTTTAAATAACATCTGCATATCACGTTGTGTTGACTTTACAGGCCTAATCCATTTCAGGGAAGTTGATATCATACAGTGTCATTTGGCAAGTACTACTACAATGGGACATGATGCAATTTCAAGTTTATAATTGTGTATCTTCAATTTGATGTTACAATTTCATCTACAAATTAAGTATAATTGAAATCAGTTACATATTTCCCATTCTTTAGACAGTTGTTGGAGGTGTTAGTTGTTTTGTCGGATGGCTTTGAGACCAGTCAGTACCCGTCATGTCAGTCCTCAACAGCACACAAAAGTTAAGGGAGTCTTTTTTTCTTTTGGTCTCGGTCTTGGTCTCGTCTCGACTTTGTCTTGGTCTTGACTCGGTCTGTCTTGGTCTTGTCTTGGTCTCGATACCCTCTTGTCTTGGTAGTGTCTTGGTCTTGGTTTAGCCGGTCTTGACTACAAGTCTAGCCATAAGTAATGATCATTTTCTATGATTAATTTGCTTAGCCAAAGCTGCATGTTTTGTGCAGCTTTCAAAGGCCAATACTCAATCCCAAATTGTCAATGCTTGCTGTAATGCCTTCAGACATCCACTCCACTAGCACCTAAACATCGTGCCAGTCATTCACCACCAGTCATATGGCAATGCATAGCAGAGCTGTTGCTGTAGAAATGAGGTATCTGGCAGGCCAATAGGAAATACTGATGTTACACTTAGTCAATTTGATCCCATTCCTAAAATAGCACCCCCTGCCAGCACTGACTAATGACACCACCCAGGATAAAACCTGGAGCTGTTTGGGATACTGTACTGACTTGGCCATTCCCAGTTCAGAAGTTTGACTTATTCATGTGCACAGCTGGATATCTCCATAAAAGCTACATCCTGAGGTTTAAACCTGGAATATTTCATTGGTCTCTCACAGGCTGCACTGAATTTCCTTAACTGAATCTGACACAATTGGGAATTTGGCTTAGTGTTTATATTTGTTTTGGCTGGAATGTCAGACAAACAGGAAACGTTTTTTTTTGTTTGGAGCTCTGAAAATCCCAGAAAGCATTCCTCACATGGATTTTAAAAGTCAGTTATTTAACAAAACCCATTTGTAGTGAAGGATTGTATAAAAGTATATGAAAATGAAAATCTTCATTCTGAACTCAGCAGTGAAGCAGAATTTGACATTTCTTGGATACTCTGCATATGGTACCCTAATATTTCAGAACATTCTCATTGTGGATTCTACAAGCAAAGACACTGTACCTGTAGTACTATTTATTTATGCTATTAAGTTTTTATTTTTAAGGGAGAAAGTGATCAGGCTCATAAATAACAAGCATAACAAATTAACAATCGGTCTCTTCTCTCCGTGACAGTGAGGGAGGCGAACATAAGAAGGTCATGGTTAATGTTCAAGCTGATTAACTTGAATTTTTGTTGCATGAAACAGAGATTCCCTGCATTAGGTTTGCTAGCAGACATCAAGATCTGTGACTGTCAGAATGTCAGTTCCCTGTTTTGGCCAGCAGGTGCCGCTGGCCATCACATTTGTTCTTGGTTCCTAGTGTGTTCTCCCTTTCCCTGGATCACCATGTGGCTTAATGGGCTAAGCAGGCGGCTGTGTCATCCAGGCTTCTTTGTATAACCTGTGTTAGTTATTATTTGATGTTCTTCTGTAAGGCTCCTTGTTTTGCTCCCTGTTTATAGTAAAGTTCAGTTACCTTTGTAATTCTAGTCTGTCTTGGTGTTTCAGCCTTTTGGTATCTGTCAGTTGGCCTTACCTGTGCTTCAGTAGTCCTAGTCCTAAGTGATTGTTAAGTGCCCACATTAAGTGTCTCTCATTACTCCTTGTCATGTGTGTATTTAAGGGCCTGCCTATGCTCTAGTCTTCAGTCAGCCTTTGCGTTTGTGTTGGTGTGTGTTCTGTTAGTTGCTGTTTCACCATGTATTTCTCCTCCTGGTTTCCATGTCTATTGTTGCTTTTGTTGCCTGTTCTCCATAGATGTTGGAGTCAGTGTCTGGTTGTTGTCCTACTTGTTTTGACCCCTTATGGTCCCTTTGTTTTCTGGTTTGTTAAATAATTTTTTTTTTTTAAAAACCCTCTTGCCTGCGAGCTGCACCGTGGATTGTCTTTTTTCCATGCCAAGCCATGACAATGACTGGTTATTTATGAGGCGGGTAGGGAGGATAAAACTATAACTACACATAATTTGTGGTGAGGTTTGTTGACCTGTCCAAATTGACACAGATGTGTAACGTGACCTGTTTGTTACATAATCTCCCTGTGACCAGGTAACAAAGGGCTCTA